CTAAGTTGTTGTCTCTCGCTGGTGTAGCAAGCAAATCTGTTGGTTGCCGGCCAAGACTCGCCGTTGTCTTGATTTTCATCTTGCCAAGGTTTTTCAATATTATGATTTCAACACCAGACCGACTGCTATATCCGGCCGTACACATCTGAGAAACTGCAACGAGTCTCCTCGTCTGGCCCCACGATGTGGTCCTGCAGGTTGATGCGAGGCTGAAACTCTTTGCGAGACAAACAGAATCACTGTCCTCAGTTGGAGGTCGGGCTTTGCCAGGCTGATAGCTGCCCCAGGCATCATAGCTTAGATCGTCCTTATAGCACGGTTGTTCAGAGCATGAGGCTCCAATGGACCATGTGTTTGTTGCCTGAGGAGGGAGCCATGGTCGGGAACTCTTGCTCTGAGGGCGTCTCTGGCTCCTGTACAGAGAGCAAATGGCTTCAGTGTAAACGAAAATTGCTCTGAATCCAGCCCAGCTGCGGTTGGCTCGTCTGGCACGGGTGGAGGACTTGCCTTCGGCTGTGCCGTCTTTTTTGGCGGAGGTTCTTTCATCTGAACCGCCTGATCAGGAATCGCCAACGCACAGCAATTCATCAATCTATGTTTCACAAGTCGCCTTGGCAGGGCCCGGCACCACCGCCGAACACTGCTTTACCTGAGCCGCAAGGGTTACTCGTTCAAATTGGAACTCATGACATTGTCGTGATTCGATTGGATTGTGCATTGCAGCGCAGGTCGCCTTGCTCCTGGATGTGGGCGGCTGTGCCTCGTGGATGGGGGCGGTGGTTGTGGCGACAACTGCGCAGTACCCACAAGTAATTAATGACATTTCTTTCGCGTCTGAAAAATCATTATCTAATGCAAACGAAGTTGAATTCATTGTTGTTTATTACTTACTGCCTCTATTCACATAATAAGTACTGATGGTCAGAAGTATTTATTTACAACATTTATTCAACTAAATAAGTCAAATCAAACCTAATGTAAATTACTTATCTTTGAAAACCACTGTACTGTTGATATTTGCATTATCGTAATATTTTTTGTTAATTGCCATTCTCAGGCAAAACTTACATTGCAACGTAAGGCAGCGGTGAAAATAATAACAATAATAAAGTAAATAAATAAATGAACAAATAAATAAATAAACATATATATATATATATATACATATATATATATATGATACTAATAAAATATTAATATATTAATATATATATATATATATATATATATATTTATTTATATAATATATATATATATATATACATATATTATATATTAAAAAATAATACTAATTTTTAATACTAATACTAATAATTATTAAATTATAATGATAATATACTGATAATAATATTATCATGCCAAGTCACGTCGGCCTTGTCTTGCTGGCCTGGAAAAATGTCCAACAACGGTGGTGATGCCTGATCAGAGATGAGTTCTTGCAGCCACTGTTCAGTCGCTGCCGTCGCAGCGGCCGGCCAATTAATGCACATGCACTGCAAGGCATTTGCGGTAGTTGTTCGGAACACTACAACACTACAACTAGACAGAATTCAACAAGAATTTTCCTGGATTCATTGACCACCGATCCACAAACTCCCATGCGGTAATTGCATTACAAGTCGCGACGTTGGCGCCAGGAGTGATAGTAGGGGCCTCGTCATCAGCAGCGGCGATCAGTGACTAGTGCTGACTGACTGAATTACCCTCGCAGTGAATAATGAGATTAGAAGCCTCATGAGTGAACGGCGGCGGGGCTTTTATTCTTTGCGCCTGATGCAACAACGGCCAGAATTACACTCGACCAACCCAGCCACTCAAACACTCTCACTCAAATTGCAGTTGTGAGCAGTGCAAGTCGCCTCTGGCTCTGCCGACGTTGTCCCCTGAGCAGCAGCACCGAAGCACGCAGTACTCAAATGAGAAACCGGTTTTCTTGCAAAGCAAGTCGCCGCCTGTTCCTCGGGAGCGGCGGTACGGGCCAGTTGTGGCTGTGACTGTATCACTGCCTGAACAGGTGCCACAGAAGAGCTCACACTCCCTCACGCTGCTGGGTTCTGGATTGCATGTTGTCTCGGCTTTTCCCGTCCCAGGCTGATCTGATGGAGTCTGAGAAGCACTCACCGAATAAGAAACTCTGGTTTCTTGCAGAGCAAGTCGCCTTATTCTTGGGAGCGGCGGCTTTCTTCGCGGCGGGCGGCTGTGACGGCGCCTGAACAAGTGCCGCCATCACAGAAGAGCTCACACAGACACGCCGACACACTATTAATCTTTTAAGTCGTCTCGGCCTTTCCCGTGCCAGGCTGATCTGATGGCGCCTGAGCAGCAACAACGACAAGCACTCACCCCCTGAGGCTCCAATGTAAGCAAATATGGCTAACATTGGGTTCAGTGGGCCTCAGGAACAACATGACCCCTCTACGGGCCCAAGTAGGCCACAGAGACAACATTCAAAATGGAGGTTTCCATTGAATCAGGAAGGTCCATCAGGGGTGGGCCTGGAGGGCCCATTAAGCGGGTACAAATGCAATACAAACTGCATGGATGCCCACACAACCGGTGAAAGTGAGAGAGACACTGCTGTCTGCGCCGGTGATTATTGAAAAATTCGAGTCTGGAATTGGCAATTCTGTCCATACCAATGATTTTGGAGAAGCTGCCGTGTGACACCCTGGAGCCATGCCAAGGCAAAGCTGTCCATACCAGTGATTTTGGAGAACATGTGTATCACTCTTGTGATGCAAAAGGGCAAAGCTGTCCGTACCAGTGATTTTGGAGAACATGTATATCACTCTTGTGATGCAAAGGGCAAAGCTGTCCGTACCAGTTATTTGGGAGAACATGTGTACACGAGTGCTGTCCACATATATTTGGAAGAACGTGCTTCATGTAGACCACACTGCCGTACACATGTGTATATGTATACGTATACATATGATACGACATGCAACACATGTAGACAACATATACATATGATGTACGTACATGTATATAAACTGACACAGGGGCAGGTGACACTCAATTATTAGGGTAACTCTTGTCAGTACGCAGATCCCTCATCAATCACCGTTCGAATTCCTCAGATATAGATCACCATCTGCAGGCAGTGCTAGGCCTGGGATAAAAACAACTTCTACGTCTACATTGTTTGGTAATTCCAAGACCCATGTACACCGGTGCCTTCAAGAAAAGTCTTTCAAACCAAATCCCTGTACACCCTGAACGAGTGTTTGTCGGGGAATTTGCGGTGTAGGGTTTTACAGGTCCAGTCTGGCATGCAGGGCTTCACGATCGCATTGCCGGGGTGTGGTGGGTGTTTTTTTGGGCTGGGACTTCTTCAGCAGGTTTGGGTTTTGAATCTCGGCTTCGGTCTCGAAGATTGTCATGGAGATCATTAATCTTCAGTTGTGGTGGTAAGTAGGGGCTTATTTATTAGTGGGGCTTCGAATACGATTTCCACAATTAAAGAGAGCGAATTGGAACAAGTCTGACTTTAGAACTCTCTCCTGTAAATTCATACATAGCCCAAGGTAGGGATTTACAAGGCCCAAAGTCGTCATCTGGCAGACTGTTTTGTTTTGTGGGGTGTCGGGTTTGGGGGCTTTGAGGGCCTAGGGGAGGCATGGACTTTCAGTCCTCAGTTCGAGTGAACGTGTCCTTTTGCAGGGTTTTAGGGTTTCCCAGGTTTCTAAATATATGCACCTTCAATCCTGAGGGTTTGGGGTTTTATTTAAGGACTAGCTAGCTATAGGCTTAAAGATTAGATACTGGGAGACCCCACTAAACTTTAATCAAGGATGAGGTTTGGGCAGGGTCTATCTTGAAGTAGTTGATACAACCATACCTAGCTACTTTGACCCATGCTAATATAATATAGTGCAACATATATAGTAGAACCCAACATATATATATATATATATATGTATATACACATGTCTCGTTTAAACGATACTTGTGTATATACATATATATATATATATATTGGGTTCTACTATATATGTTGCACTATATTATATTAGAACCACCATTATTATACCCCGACCTTCGGACTCCTCGCTTTTGGCACCAAGTCGAAAGTCTCGATGCAACTCCTGCGGCCACAGCCACACTCAACTGTGCAGCTTTGATCACCCAGACGGTGCACGGCAAATAAAAGCCCCATCGTATATATGCACGCAGTGTGTACCCAGAATCTTGGAATAAAGTGCTCCATGCACGGCTTTGAGAAGTGCCCAAATATAGCAGCATCGGTTGCCCAGAGTGATTGGATTCCAAAAAGCGCCAGATCATGTCCATTCCAAAAAACTCCAAAGCATGTGCAGTTGCACAATGAGACCAGCAGTCTGTGGCAAGCAGCAGTTGCCGATGCCCCACAGCACACCTGTGGGGAATTCGAATCGAATGATTTATTTCACAAAAAAACAAAAGTATATTTAAGGAATTAGAACCGAATTTACTATAATAACCCACTATAGGCGTATATATATATATATATATATAACTACTAAAACCCGAAAATAAACAAAAAAGACCGTATAGATCCGATTAGCTTTAACCCTCAAGGTAAAGCACATTAAACCCCACATATGCCTTTATTCTGCAAGGGGCACTTGCAGGCTAACTGACTTAAACTACAGTGTTATATGTTTATTGGACTCACACAGCTTCCACAAGCCAGGCCTTTTACAACTTAGGGACATATAGTATACAACTGCAGCAGAACCAGCATTTGCTGGGAAAACGAACTTCAGTCAGGGATTAGCGCTTCGGGATTTATATATAGGGTTCAAGGAAGCTTGGGTTTATAGGATTAGGGTTTTGGGGTTTAGTCAAGAAGCTTGGGTTTATAGGATTAGGGTTTTAGGGTTTAGGGAAGTTAAAAGAAAGAAAACAATGAGCTCGGACGACAACGCACTCGCAGGAGTTTGCAGCCAAGAATCATCAAGCCCCCATTGCAATATGGCTGCTGCTGCTGCTGTTGCTGCTGCTGCTGCTGCTGCTGCTCAGCGCAGCTGCATGGACATGAACCGCAGTTGCAGGCGGCATAATGTCCGAAACTCAAGCAGATCCCTGTGGCATCTCCGGGCCACATGCTTGACCAGGCCCATACAGTCTTCGTCCCGAAAACAATGAGTGAACCTGCAATTATACAGGGATTTCACCATGAACCAGTTAATCTCCTGATATGCATGGAGTTTCGGCTTCATGGGCCAGCAGAGAGACCCCATGGCAATGTGACGGGCAGAGAGTTCCCTGTATATCAGGACTGCACGCTCCGAAAGCCTCCAAAGTTCCGCAGCCTGCTCCGCCGTCAGAAATCGCCCACATGCCTCCACTTTCAGATGCCACGATGCAAGGCTGCTGGTGAGTGCAGTAATTAGCTGAAGTTCAGCATCATCACCGGCACTCTGTAGTGCAACCTCACAACAGACACTCAAGAAGGCGACGAAAACCCGTCCATGGTATGCCTTCAAAGTGAGCTCGGGGGTCGTCGGCTTCGCAGCAGTGCCCATGTGCAGCATTCCAATTGTAATGAATGGCTGGCTCTGCATAATGCCATGCAATGAACACCATCTGCGAAACCTGAGTGTGCAGACCTGCAACCTCGCTGCCAGCCCAACAGTCTTTGCACCAAAGAACTCACGCTCAAGCAGGGCCAACAACGTCGCAGCGTTGACCCATTGTTCGATGCCGAGGTTGACAACATGCATAGCACAAAAGTGTAGGGCCTCTGGGTGGAAGCCAGTCACCCAGGTCAACGGTGACACATAACTGCCCAGGGCCTTCGTGATGAATGCTGCATGTGAAAGTCGGGGAATTGCTTGGAACGACTCGAACCTGGAGAACCTGCTGCAAGCCGGCGTACTAATATCTGCACTTGTTTAAGGAATTAATTTGCAAAGCAGCCAGGAAAAAATACTATAAATCCAACCAAGCTGCTGGTGTGGCCCGGCCCGATGCGTTGCATCACAAAAGTGGCAGGTGTGAACAAGCTTGGGGTTGTAGTTGCGCTTGAACCTGAATGTTTCATATGCCCATTTCCAATCTCCACGGATTTCTGTCAAGGCAAAGGGTCCTCCAGCCAATGGCTTGTTGGCCTTCTTGCGCCGCAGTTCAGACAACTCATCATCAAAAGGGCCCAGCGAAGGAAAGATGCCCCCATACGCCACATTAAGCGACCAGGAAAGCACACGCAGAGGGACGTCCAAGGTCTTCGGCCCCAGGTTGTACTCACCACGAAGAACGAACCATGGAAACCGTGACATCTCCAGAGCCACTGGTTCGTGGAGGCAGAATGACAGCAGCATCACTATGATCTTTGCACCTCCCAATGTATATTGTGCGTCATCACCGGAAATGCCGATAGGCGTGTACAACTTGCCGCTTGCAGCAAAAGCATCTGCAGCAGGATGAGGATATCGGTGTTGTTTCCAGTGTGACCAGAAGCGCTTCAAGACATCGGAGCTCACATTGACCCGATGTTTGTCCTGATGTTTGATTCACTTCCATGACGGAAGACGTACATGAGCAAAAATCAGGGTTTAGGAATGCACTGGATATTCCCTAAAAAAAACATTAACCTGGAATAACACACTTCCCAAATTCTGAGCCTGGGTTCTGAAAGATAATGAAGCAGCTCATGCGGCAGAATCAGAGGCATCCGAGCAGTGGTTTCGGCCTTCCGATTTTCAGACGTCATGTCCCTCACAGGGATTTGGACGTGGTAAAAATCCTCAGCTGTGCACAAATTTAATCTACCCCCTGATCGCTACACGCACTGCTACTATATTCGAAGCCATTGTTCGACCCTGATACCCGAAGTAACCATCATTCGAAATAAGCCAAGGGTCCAGAGGGAGGTCGAGTATTCGTAGAAGGTCTCTTTCACAGTTCTGAGGGTGTCGGCCACTTGTGCCGATGCCAGCTATCTTCTTCGTCAGCGATGAGCTGTCTGGGTTTTCCTGTCAGGGGCATATATTTGTACATATATATGTATATACATAAGTGCTTTTCTTTCATGGAAGGCAGTATTTATGTCAAAAACTGGTTTGCTACGATATTCGATGTAATATAATATACTGCCTATGCATATATATATATATACATACGGGCATACATTAATCAGACCCAGATGCCACCATCTCGAGTTCGAACCGACTTCGAAGAAACCACTGTGTATCTAGGGACCTTCATAGGTGCAGGACACCGCGATAAAGATAATGTTAAATTTGGGCTCGTTAGGATTTCTAGTTGTGTTTCTTTATTAGGGTGTAGGGGTTTCAAGAATAGTCATACCAACCATCTACACCTAGACCCCCGCAGGGTTGTGAGATTCAGACCTGAAATCGAATTGTCCGAAGACCTTCCTGCCCAGGTGTAGCTTCATGCACAAACTGTACGGATTACACTGGATTCTCTAGATCCCCTGATATGGTCATGAAAGGTACACATCTTATATTATATCAAGGGTCACAATGAAGGTTAAGGTTTCAGTATCCTCAAAGCCATATTATAACAGTACAGTTAAATTAAACCCTGATATAACCCTACACCATAAAGTTATTCCTAGACTAATCCCTGATATAATCCTAACCCCATTGTTCTACTTTGGAGGCTCTGGCCCTTGAACAATTCAAGCCTAAGCTGGGTCTACCCAGGGCTACCGACAGTGCATCCGACGAAGCTTGTATGCCCAAATCCTTAAACCCTTAACCTTCACACTCATTATAATAAAGTCTGAAAGCCTGGCCTTGACACATGCCGCTGCGGCTTCCTGGATCTCTTTGCAGCTCGAGGCCTGCAGATCGGTCACAGGTAATCTAGTAGAACAGTATTATGGTACTGTCTACTAAAATTTCGTAATTTCAGCAGGCTTGGTGATTAGAGATCCCGTTGCCTCATGACAAGGGTTGTTGTTCGGTGCCCACGACTATAGCTGCAGCTACTGTACAAATTTAGAGGCTAGGGGCTAAGGCACACCAAATATATTGGAGCTTGGGTTAGTACTTGCATTGTGCAGGTTATTCAGGAGATAAGTCGTGGAAGAACTTCAGAGGGCCATCAGGTCCAGGGTCCAGCTACCATCACACCAATAATATATATATATATATATGTATATATAGTATGTATATATATATATATATATATATATATATTATTGTATATGTATATATATATATATATATATATATATATATATATATATTATAGTATATGTGTATGTATATGTATATGTATATATATGTATATATGTATATGTATGTATATATATATATATACATATACATATACATATACATATACATATACATTATATATACATATATACATATACATATGTACATATACATATACATATATAGTTCAAATACCAATATCACTTCAGTCTAGATAGAGAGGTCAGTAGCGCAAGTGTGTATCATACACCTGTAGTGCAATGTCATGTCCATAGACCACGTATACGTGTGGCCAGTTAACATGTACATCCCCGGCCCCAAATGTAAACGTACTGACAACACAATCATCCGAAATCCATGTAGCTAAAATCATTGAGTCCATCACCGAATCGAAAGGTAAGTACGAAGCCCTCACACCAACATACATGAGACCCCATGCCCAACAGTTTAAATTGATCCCAGTGACTCCCCTGCCCAGGCTCGAAATCAGATGCTCTGCAAAGGCAGTGCTCGAACCTGCGAGGGGTATAATGATAGGTTTAAGGGGTCTTGGAGATAATATGTTTGAATTGGTATCCGGGGTTGCAAAGGTTTGGTTGCAAAGGGATATACAAGAGTGTATCGTAGGACTTGAACTCATGGGTTGTTAGTCTACAGCTGGTTGCAGTGTGTACAACCTATCTGTTAGGTACGGTCAGTTAACTGCGGCTAGAGTTTCAGGACTGCTGGGACCATACAGGTCAAAGGGTGGCCTTCACTAAAGATGACTGTCCGGGTATTATCACTAGATGTACATACAGGGTGGTTTTGGACTCGAATTTGCATTCTTGCATCAATGATATCGCCCAGGTCGAAAGTGTTTTTTTGGTTGTTGCATATTACCGGGCTATTCACATGTTCACTGCAGGGATGCCCAGGATTCCAAAGCAAATGTCATAAACCCTATATAACGAACCGAACATATACATGTATATGTATATGTATATATATATATACATATACATGTATATGTTCGGTTCGTTCTTAAAACAATCCTTGAAAACCTTTAACCCAACTTTAATTGAACTTGGATATCGGCTACACTAAAACTCCAATGTCCACATTTTCACCCAGCGGATAGACTTCCACCCTGCTTGAAAGACTTGGGGTGCTAGCCAGCTCTCTGCCAGCAGCACACGAACTTACAGTTCGAAGTAACGGCCCAGCCGAGCTGGTAGAGTCGGCTCACCATCCCCACGCGCATGTGTTGATCATCATTGCCCATGCACAGCTCTTCGAAGTATATCTTGTACATTGCAAAGAAAGCTGTCACTCCACATTAGCTATCACATGCGACGGCTATGGGAGTGTGCTCACAACCACACCAGCTGCTAGGATCACCCACGAGGCAAGCTTGTGCGACTTCCAAAATGCAAGGTTTCGCGGCCTGAATAATAGTACCAGAAACTTAATATGCACTCTCCACTTCCCTGCAGAAGTCAAGCTTACCCGGCTTACCCATCGGACACACACCAGACTCACGGGGCTGCTGGTGCAGGATTGGGAGTCTCTGGAGCCGCTTTGGCCTTCGGTGCCTTTGGCTTCATCTTACGGGCGTGCCGGGCTGCATCTTTGTAGCTTCGAATAACATGGGCCAGTTCATTCACCCGCATCCGGATACTCTCGTCATCTTGGCCCACAGACACAGCCGCCTCCCAGGTGTGTACATTCCGAATTATGTAGGCTTAAGGATGGCTTTTGGGTTCAGGGGCAGGGTGTTCTAATGAGGTTCGATAATGATGACATTGTTAGCATGCTGAGCTTCGCCTTGTGACTTTCAAGGGTAATTGTGCTAAATCAGAATGGGGTTGCACGTAGAATTCTACAGCTTGGAGCCCTAGCGATATATAGCAAGTCATAGCACAAACCCTGAGATTACATGTCAGGCTGTAGCTTGGATTGTGTTTCGGCTTCTTGAGCTTTCAGGTCTTGCAAGAGTTTCGAGTAATCTTCTTGTTGTTTGAGGTTGGCGGTTCAGTGCTTTTGGTTTCGTGTAGGGTTTAAAAACTGTAGAATCATGCCAATTACAACCCTTCACCACCCATCGATCGTATATAGTATATTGCCATTATAAAACCACCAGACCCTTGCATATACAAGATCGATATCGATATATGCCACACCCCCTAAACAAATGCCCTTCACCCAATATCTTCACCGGCCTCCACACGACTCCTTGACTCTTCCAAAGAGCCCAAATATTGGTGCACATCCTTGAGCACAGCCTCGCGAAGAGCTCCAGGCCTGAACAAATAATTTATGAGGTGCTGAGCAACTTGAACTTAAATTGCAACATCATGGCCACATCTAGTTATTAAGACACCCACGTCTCCGAATTGGCCAGCGCGGTGTTCCAGGATTTGCACTCAAGAATGAGATCAGCAGCAGATTTCATAGCCTTGGATTCGAATTCTGAATGACTTTATGTTTCATGTTCCGGGTGCATAACATGTCTAAGTATCGTAATTGCTGGCTTAAACACCTTCTTGGCTTCCTGAACAGCAGTCTTGACCTTCGGCTGGTTTTCCTCGTTGCCGTTCTCGGTAGCATCATCCTGACCCTTGTTCTTGCCCTTGCCTTTTCCCTTCGCAGAACCTGGTGGTGTCCCTTCCGCAGTGGCCTTGTTCTTTCCCTTGTTCTTGCCCTTGCCTCTGCCCTTTGCATTCGCGGGTGGATTAGCGGGGTTCGGGTTCGAAGACGATGAAGGCTCCGAAGTGCCCGGCAGAGCTGGCGATGCCAGCCGAGGCCCCAGTTTGTCACGGTGGGACCTCGGTTAATCTTTTAGGGGTTATAATATAAGGGATATATATATATATATATATAATTTAAATAGCTGTAATATAAGTACATAATAGTGGCAAAGTCACAGCAGCTGTGCAGCATCTTCATTCCGCAAGTTGCCAGATCTTCGAATGTCTAGCTCCGTCTGGGAACCGTCTTTTCGAATTTCTTTACTGGCATCCCAACACAGATAAAGCCGCATAGCCTTAGTGTGCATGCGAAAAGTAAACATCTGTATCAAGACACTACCCCTGCAAGATATCCTCAAGTAAAGTGTCACTGTGGTCTGGATTGCTTTCCCATAATCCACTTTCCTCCTGATGTGGGGAGCTCAGGCTTTGGGTGTTTAGAGCCGGTATAATCAATTGAGACAGGGGGTAGCTAGCATCGATTTTGTTTACGGCCGGGGTCTATCTATCTATATAGATGTATACACATACAGAGACCGATATATGGGGATGTGTACATCTATATATACATATACCTAGCAGATAAGCAGTATATATTCTTTGATATATATATATATATACATATATACATATCTAGACATAGACACACATACTTCAGGCATTATGGTAAGATTTACGATCTCTGTTGTTTTCGAAGTGCAGGAGTCTGGGGAGTCCAGGAGTTTGGGAGTTTGAGTTTGGGGTCTCGAGGTCTTGATTTAGTTAGGGTTAGGGGTCAACCTTCAAGTGCCCAACTGGTTTTAATCATGCCTGGACTACGACCATGGGGATTACGATGGGGGATGGTGATGATGCTGAAACATCATACATATATGTGGTGATGACGGTTCTGGTGATCTGGTGATGAGTGATCATGATGTGTCCATTCATGGAATGGCTAGCCGGGTGCCTTCTCCTGTATGATGCTGTCGACGGTGTCTTGGTCACCGTGATATTTCACAAGAAGATCCTTGGTGGCAGAGCAAAGAAGCCAAATGTATACCACCAGCTACTGTACCCAGTGCTGCATTTACAAGCGAGTAGCTTGGCGACTCATCAACTTGTACTCCCCACGACGAACATTTGCACTGATAGCGCGGTGGTTCACGCAAATGCTGCTCTCGAGCCAATTCATGTTGGCTTGCAGGAAGTCCTCGACCATGGCCTGCCGACCCGTCTTGTCACCACCTTAGCTGGGAGACCAGGGCATTAACGGGCTTCGAGGTTCTGGCAAGGATTCATTTTTTACAACCTTAACCCCGAACCCAGGAGGTTCAAGATAACCCCAACCCCAACTTAAACCCCAAGTGATGTTAACCCTCTTCGGCTTGTTATGGGGGTTGGGGTTTGGTGTTTAGAGTTTGTGGTTTAGGTTTGGGGGTTCAGGGTCTCGGGTCTAGGGTCTCGGGTTTAGGTGATGGGGTTTAGGTTGGGTTTGGGGGTTTAAGTTTAGGGGCTTAGAGTTTGGGGTTTATGGGTTTATGGGAAGTCGCTTTCAGAGAGAGAGATATAGATATTGCATCCAAAGCACTCTCCATCACCTGGTTGTACTTCTTCACGACTTCGGGTGGGCATGATGGGCCTCAGATGACGGTGGTGTTGTTATGTGGCATAAGTAACCTTGCAATGAGTGCAGACGGCCACTTAGAATAAGTAAGGCAAGTTGCTACGCACGGATCGTAGGAACTTCATCGAAATCTTTTGCCGTGTGTTCCTAATGGCCTGCACAACTGCACAACAGCACAGGGGAGGTTGCTGACTTTAGCAGGCTACTTATTTATAGAAATAGGTCACCACCGGGCCCTATTTTTGTTTTGTATTATAATTGTAATGCAACTGGGTTGTACCATTATAATTCCAGCATAGAATGTAATTCATATAGGACTAATCGTGTATCCCGGTCACTATAGTGACAGGGATACACGATAAGTCCTATATGAATTACATTAAGTCAAAGTCCAGAACCCCTAAACCCATGATGGCCTAGCTAATTTTTGTTACCCCGACTTTATGCTTCGATACTGTTTGCCTTCTTGCGGGTTTCCTCTTGCCGTCTTTTCTCCTCTGCTGCTGCATCCTCTGCCTCCTTCCTGCGATGCTCCTCCAAAGCCCGTGCATTTGGGCCCTGCGCCACTCCCGGCTGCACTGGCTGCAGGTCACAGGTGTTTGCTCGTAGCAGGCAGGATTGTACGAGCTGAAGATCAGAGCTGCTGCCTGGGTTGGCTGCTGGGGCTGAGTCGTCCACATCCATTTGTGTCTCCTGCATCATCAGCTGCGAGTGTGGGGGCATTGCTGGAGCTATGGGGACTGTTGCTGCGGGCACACTGACCATAGGTGTTGGTGCTGGGCTTGCAACTTGGGTTGCCAGAGCTGCTGGGCCAGCATTGTAGAACTGTGGTGTTGCTGCTGGCAGTGATGCTACTGGTGTGACTGGGTGTCCGAAGAAATGTGTCTTCGGGGTCGGGTCTACCATCGCAGGTGCACTGGTTACCACAGGCATCGGGGGACTGATCACGTCGGTTGCTGCATACACCACTGCCGTGTTTGCCATTGCCACACCAGGGGTGCTGATCATCGCTGCTGCTGCTGGGCTAGAAACCATCGGGTTCTCAGCTGCATTGGCCACTGCTGGTGCCACACTCGGGGTGCTGATCATCGTTGCTGCTGCTGGGCTAACAACCATCGGGTTCTCACCTGCTTTGGCCACTGACGGTGCCACACTGGCGGTGCTGATAATCGCTGTTGCTGCTGGGCTGACAGCCATCGGGTTCTCACCTGCATGGGCAACTGCCAGTGCCACACTCGGGGTATTGATCATTGCTGCTGCTGGGCTAACCATCGGGTTCTCACCTGCATTGGCCAGTCCCATTGCCACACTCGGGGTATTGATCATTGCTGCTGCTGGGCTGTTGCTTGCATTGGCCACATCTGCCACACTTGGGCCCGGGGCGCTGATCATCACTGCTGCTGCTGGGCTTGCATTGGCCATATTTGCCACACTCGGGTTGCTGATCATCGCTGCTGCTGCTGGGCTAACAACCATCGGGTTCTCACTTGCATTGGCCACTGCCGGTGCCACACTTGGGGTGCTGATCGCTGCTGCTGCTAGGCTAACCATCGGGTTCTCACCTGCACTGGCCACTGCCGGTGCCACACTCGGGGTGCTGATCATCGCAGTTGCTGCTGGGACCATCGGGTTCTCATGTGCATTGGCCACTGCCGGTGCCACACTTGGGTTACTGATGATAGCCGTTGCTGCTGGGCTTTCACTTGCATTGGCCATCTTTGCCACACTCGGGCTGCTGATCATCGCTGCTGCTGCTGCTGGGCTAACAACCATCGGGTTGTCACCTGCATTGGCCACTGCCGGTGCCACACTGGGGGTGCTGATCATCGCTGTTGCTGCTGGGCTGACAACCATCTGGTTCTCACCTGCATTGGCCACTGCCGGTGCCACACTCGGGGTGCTGATCATCACTGTTGCCGCTGGGCTAACCATCGGGTTCTCACCTGCATTGGCCACTGCCGGTGCCACACTCGGGGTGCTGATCATAGCCGTTGCTGCTGGGCTTTCGCTTGCATTGGCCACATTTGCCACACTCGGGGTACTGATCATCACTGTTGTTGCTGGGCTAACAAACATCGGGTTCCCATGTGCAACCACAGGCATCGGGGGACTGATCACGTCTGGTGCTGCATATGCCACTGCTGTGTTTGCCATTGCCACACTCGGGGTGCTGATCATCACTGCTGCTGCTTGGCTATCCATCGGGTTCCCTGTTGCATCGGCCACTGCTGGTGCTGCACTCGGGGTATTGATCATCGTTGCTGCTGCTGGGCTAACCATCGGGTTCTCACCTGCATTGGCCACTGTGGGCTCCACACTTGCGACATCGATCGGTGCTGTTGCTTGCCCTGGGCTTGCTGCTGGTGTGTCTACATTTTGTTGTGCAGGCTTTGCAGGGGTGAAAGGAACAGTCGTTGCCTCAGACATCGGGGTCAAAGGCTCTTGAGCAGCGCGGGGGCTCACCAAATCACGGGCATCAGAACCATCACTCGACATCGGGGACTCACGACGGTGGGAGTCACCATAGACCCGATCTAGGTAGTCAACCACCATGGTTGGTGCAGGAGGTGGTGCCATTGCATACGTCTGTGCAGGTGCTCCTGCAGGGGCAGGTACTGCTGCTGTGTTCGGGGCAGGAGCTGCTGTCGGGGCAGGTACTGCTGCTGTGTTCGGGGCAGGAACTGCTGTTGTGTTCGGGGCAGGTACTGCTGCTGTGTTCGGGGCAGGTACTGCTGTGTTCGGGGCAGGAACTGCTGTTGTGTTCGGGGCAGGTACTGCTGTGTTCGGGGCAGGTACAGCTGCCGTGTTCGGGGCAGGTGTTGCTTCTGCTGCTGATTTCACTGTTACTGTAGGCTCTGTAGATGCGACTGACTCTGCTGCTGGTGTCGGGCTGGTCGTAGCCACCACGTTGAGCCCAGGGCCACTTGAACGAGCAGGGAGCAAACCAGCTTCTGCGAGGGCTTTGTACATAGCAACAGCCTTATTTGCAGCTTTATCAGGGTCTGGTAGCATAGGTAGCTACACCACATAATGATGCAACTGAGTGTCCTCAGCAAGGGAGCAAGCCCCTTGAGGGCCCGAAGAGTCCGTGGTCTGGGAATTCGAAGGCACCACCTTAAGGTTAGCATTCTTGTAATTATAATATAACAGTAGGCCACAGCTTCAGCAGTAACACATATAATTTAGCCTAGATTACAGAAAAAAGTTGCAGGCAAGCATCTGCCCCATCGAGCTCCAAAGCAGCTTCACCTGTGATAGTGGTTTGGGGCTAGGGCACACACATTCAGGGCTGACGGCTTATGGTTGTAGCTGACTGATGCATTATAAGTGTTGGAAGCACCTTCCAAGCATGATGCCGAGCCCACAGAGGAGAGCGCAGAACTCGTGGGCAACGAGGCCGCCCTGCCTGATACATGGCATAGGTGCTACTGTGCATGGTTGGGGTTTGTGGTATCCGAGGCTGAATGGGTTTAGGGCTTTACTGTCCCAGGTTAAGAACCTTGTAGGAGTTTAACATTGGTGTTGGTTCAGGGTTCAGGGTCATAGCTCTGTCAACAGCATACATATAAAAGTATGTATGTAGAGACCTTCATGTATACAGATACCTACATACATGCACTGCACATACATGTACATACACATACATAGACATACATATATATATATACATACACAGACATACAATACATACATACATACATACATATATATATATATACAATAAATACATACATACATACGTACATATATGCATACACACACATACACATACACATGTATACATGCTATACAAGTATATAGACACACACGGGTCACGATGGTGTAATTTATAAGTCTACAGGTTTATATATGTATTTATATATATATATATAAAGCTGGGATAGCAGTGTAGGGTGTTCTGCTAGTCGAATTACAGTGTATTGCATGTTCACACATGTATGAAAAGCCAATATACATGCACATATTGCATCATCTACTTGCAAGCAGGGGCCTCGAGGGGCTTCAGTCGAAACCGAGTCATCCGGATAATTGAGCTCCATCTTCAGCTTGGCATCGGCTGGGCTGGACATTTTCAAATGCTTTTGCCCTGGCGTTGGGGTTGGCGTCGCTGCCTGGGTGGGTGTTGACTTCTGGGCCCTCTTCCCTTGGTGTTTCAAGGGAGTCTGAGCTGCACTAACATCAGTCTTCACCGGTGTTGATCCCGCAGACATTGGTGCAGCCCTCCGAAGAGTCCCTTGCGCCAAAGCTTTGGAACGTCGCTCCGCAGCTTTCTGGAAGAGGCTGTCCATTTCCTTAGTGATGTGTGTGTGCACTGGTATAGTACGTGAGTCGGCTCGTGCCCTAAAGCAGACTAAGCAGCCTCTCCACCCACACCATCATCTCCCATATCTGCCATGTCCGCAAATCTAGGCACAAAATGTGCGATCCTATCAAGCCAAATGCTGCCAGGTGGCACATGCATGTCAATGTTGCCAACATGCACCGGTGCTTAAACATCATTGCGCAGTACCCCCCCACGTTGCCGACATGGCCCTACTCGGCCCACCCCGACGTCAGCATGCTCCCATGCGTTGCCCACGTAACCCCACCCAGCCCCCCCTAACGTCAGCGGGTCCCCCCACGTGGCCCCACCCAAGCGTCACACCCCGTCACGCCTGGTCACGCTGGTTCCTGCAATGTTGTGTCCAGGGGCCTACTTTAATAGAAAAACGGCTTCCACCGTCACGCCCCGTCACGCCCTGTCACGCCCAGGGTTCTGCTAAAACCTGGGTTGAGGGATTACATGTGGGACAAGATATGCAAATTCATACGAAAAAACACACACCAATGGATAGTTTCCTACAAAAAACCAGCAAACAGCAAGGCTGAGATGCACTTGTCCTTGGGTTTTGGCCTATTTAGATACCTGAATGCGTCAATTCTCACTGAAAACCCACACACAGCATGGTTGAGATGCACTTTTCCCTGGGTTTTGGCTCATTTACAGAACC